ACGCTAGCTTCGGTTAAATCGTTCATATCTAATGAATTTACTGATCTACAATTTTATTAATTAAGAAAAAAATAATAATTACTTTTATTACAATAAAAAATAATTATGTTATGTATAATTATGTATTAATGTACCGTTTTTTATCTTCATTTAAGTATATATCCTGGAAAGACGTTTGTTGTGGATTTTTTGTAGAAGTACCATCATTTACACGTTGCCATAATTTTAATGATGTTGGTGTTGGTGCAGAACGAGATTGTTCTTCCCATTCTCTAATCAATGTAGTACCTTCACTAGTACTATGTGGTCGATTCTGTAAATATTATATTTTTAAATTAATAAATAATATATATATATTATATATATTAATAATATACTTATAATATTTAAAATTTATATAAAATAAGTACCAATGATCCCCAACTTTGATGCCTTTGTTGTTGTGGAGTACCACACATACTATGTCTATTACTCGAAGATAAACTAGCATTACTACTTGCTCGACTAAGTTGAAGAGGTGCATTTATTAATCTCCATTTTTTACCCGTTAATTCTGATTGTGTAATACCAGCGCGATAATATAAACATCTATCTTCATGGCCTATAGCCCAAACCTGAAAGATATTAAAAAAATTAAATAAATTAATTATTACTTAATAATTAATTATTACTTATTACTTAATAAATTAAAAATTATTATTTATTCAAGAAAATATTTTTTTAAAAAGTTTTTTTTTTATTATCAGTTACCTGATCATTTGGAGCAACAGATACCAGTGACATTTTACTTAACATTTCCACCCATCCAGTTCCAACAGCCATTTGTTCACAAACTCCACTCATTTCACCTTTAATACCTTTTCTAAACCATACTCCTCCATCTTGTGTTATAGCCCATACAGCATCCGTACCTATACTAACTTGTATTAATTTTAAATCTTTTTGTGGAGGATCAACTTCTACCCAATCTTCACCTATACATATATAATATAAATATAATAACATAAATATATAATATATTCGGTATATATTATATAATATATATCAATATATATATATCAATATAAAAAAATATACATTATTTAGTATAATTTACATACCCATTGGATATTCTCTAGTCACACCTGTACGCACAATTGCTTTACCAATCATTAACACTGCCCACACAAGACCAGTCATTCCAACAGTGATTTGACACACTTCATATCCATTTGCTAATTTTATAGTACTCCATCTTTGACCTTCAGGGCAAGTAGTACTAGTTCCAACACGAAACATTACCTTAAATTATATTAATAATTTAATTATATTAAATATAATCATTATTACATATATAATATATAAAATAAAAGTATGAATGGAAATAACATTACAATTATAAATAAAAATTATAAATAAAATATTATTATAAATTACAATATTTAATTAATACAAATTATAATATTTTTTAAGAAAATTAAAAATATTTTTTTAAATATTATACCCTGCCATGAGCAGTTACTGCCCAAACTATTAAACATCCGGGATTACCACCAGGTATTTGATTTCCACCCACAGATATATCAATAAAAGGTTCCTAAAAATATGTTAATAAATTTTGTAAATGTTTTTGAAAATCATTTAGTTTAAAAATTTAGAAACTTACTTTAGTTGCATCTTTATGAAGAGGTGCAATAGCACACCATGAATTCATAGCACTGTATCTCCTATATCGAACCCATTTCCTTCTTCTAACACAAGATTTCCATTGTTTTTTTGTTGTATATGTAGCTGGAAAATCAACTGCATATGTCCATCCCTACCAAAATATCAGATTCTCTGTCATCATAACACTTTGTTTGTTTTTGTCGATGTTGACAACTGATAACAAATCTACATATAAACAGAAAGTCATAAAAAATGTAACAAAGATGAACTGAAAAATGAATTAATCCATTATTAACTCATTGATAACTATAATCATATGTAATTGCTGTTATTAATATAAAAATTAATAAATTAAGAAAAATTAAGAAATATAAAATAATAAAAAAATTTTAAATGAATAAAATATTTTTTAATGAAATAGAAGAAATAATAGATTAATTATAAATAATTTAATTGCTATAACAAAAATTTTATTGCATTTACATCATGATCTAATGGTTGGCCATCCAATGTAGTTTCTATTTGCCAATCACCTTCCCATTGCCAAGCCATAGATGGTAATTTTACTTTATCTCTACTACGGTCAACTGTACCATCTTGATCAGAAAAATTATACCTATCTGTAGGTAATAATCTTCCACTAAATCCTTCTAAAGGAAGCCAACGCTATAAATATTATGTTCTCTTAAAATCTGTTAAAAGTTACATATATAAATAACTATATAGTAATATAAATAACTATACTAACTATATATAAAAGTTACATATATAAATAACTATGATTATAATCATTCAAATATATTTTAAACATACTTCATTTTCATATATTTCTTCCTTGATTCTTATAGGTACATCTAAACCATGTACATGTACATAAACTTGACGATCACCACCTATAGCCCACATGAAATGTGGTACTGCTGATAATTGTTTAAACTCAAGACCCAAGTACATGAATTCTCTCCACATGTTTCCAGATGTTGACAATCCAAATACGCGCCCCTCATTATTTATAGCATATAAGTATGAGCTTGGCATTTTAACACTTTAATAAATAGTTTAACTTTTCTATAAAATAATATTTATATTCATAATAATGGAATTATATTTTCCATCCTATCATTAGATTATTGTGTAAATAAGTACTGATAATGATAATCTTTATATCGATGATTCACGTTTATGATAATAACAAATATTTAAATATATAAAGGTAAATATTTTTAGATATTTAAAAAAAAATATAAGTTTTTTTTTCTAGTTTTCTATTAATAATGACATACATAATTTTTACAAAAATATAAAATAATAATCGCGAAAAAATGATTTTGGTTATGTAAAATATTTATATTTTACATTTTATTAATATAACATATTATTATTATGTATAAAAATGTTAAAACACAAAAACTATTAAATTATTTAATACAAAAATTTAAACGTAAGTATAAATTGTTAATCAAAAAATAAAGAACATGTTTTGACGATACATAACCAACTGTCATTTACTGTTACTGTCACTTAAAAATGTGAATATAGATAAATTTATCTCACATTAAAAAAAATTACTATTTTAAAAATTAAAATATTAATGAATGTAATTAATGTTTTCAGAAATTATTTATATGCGTCATTCATATAATAATATATGTATATAAAATATAAATATTGTAATAATGTAATTTTATTTTTACTTAAATTATATATAATTAAATGTGGTAACACTGCTTTTTAAACTTACTTTTTGTGATTAAATTTTAAAAAAAGATATTAAAATTTTTTATTTTCTCTATGCATTTTTATGGATTTTATCATGAATCTGAAAATATTCATTTTAGTATTGAAATTTAATGATTTAAAATTATTTGTAAAATTACAAATTTTTAGAAATTTTTGCGAGTCATATGACGCCATGTTAGATTTTTATTTAATATAATTGAATAATAATAGAAGTACTAAAACATATCAAGTTTAAATTACCTTTTGGATAAAAAATTTAAATTATATTATAATTTAAATTCAAATCTAAATTGATCTTTAAGTCGTATATATTTATAGACATACATAGAAATGTATAAGTCAAATTAAAACAAAAAGAAAATGAAATATTTGCAGACAAAAAAATAATTCAAAATGGTGGATATTGCATCTGATAAATAAAACTATAAATTTTCAGAGTCTGACATCATACTCTTATTTAAAATAAAAGAGAATAAAAAACTAAATAGAAAAAAACATAATGCTATCATTACGGAATGCGTAGTACTTTTTTTAAATTAATTTTTTTCTGTTTAAAAGTATGATATCAGATTCTAAAAATCTGAAACTTTGTCTAATAAAGCTATATCAAGCATGTTGCAAATAATTATGCGTAAGATTATATATTTGTTTGTGAATTAAAAATTAATTTAAATAATTATTAATAACAATGAAAATATATTGCATTAAAAATAACAAAATAATAAAAGTAATACTAATTTAAATCCAAAATCCTACTAAAGTAAAAAGATTTTCTTAAACTTTTATTCATTAAAAATATATAATTATACATTTTATAATATTCTATCTCATTCTCGAATTAAATTTATTAACGTTATTTTATTTTAAATAATTTTAAATAATTATGATTAAATAATTTTTCTTTAATTTGTATATTGTTATTATGTTTTTAAATAAATTATATGAAAATAATTACAGATCGAATATTATCAACATCTTAACTAAAATTTAATTTTTTCGAAATAATGATTTTTTAGATGCACATTATAATAAATATTATTTAAAATTATAAAAATAAAATAAAAATCAATAAAGAATAAAATATATATTGCAGATTTAATAATGATTAAATTGCAATAATGTATAATAATATAAATATTTATACATATGCTTTGAAGTAAGAAATTGCTTGAAAGTAAGAATTTTCATCTTTATTTTGCTTATATAACATCATATAATTTTATCTTTAAATCGAAGCAATTATCTCAAGTTATGTCTATAAATATACAGGAAAAAATATTCATAATGACCAAGATTAGGAATATTGAGAATTTAAGATCATTCACAAAATAAATGTGAGATAGAAGACAATATGTTATGTATTTTTACTTATTGTTTAGATAAATGTTTATAATTAATATACTTATTAATCACATATATTAGAGCAATATATTTTAAATATATTTTGAACTATATATTTATATTCTAATTAATATTTAATATAATAACAATCAAATTAATAATTATTAATATCTTTCTTATATAACAATTATTAAGATAAAATATTTTAATTATAAATTTTAATTTACAAATTTTTTTAAAAATAAATATTAATACAAATAAGTTCTTTCTTCTTTTTTTCCAAATTCAAGATTTTATTATATAAATCAGATATAAGATTATATCTCAAAGTATTCACTCTCATTCTCTATAATCTTTTCCCACCTGGTGGGTAAATTATAAAGTCCATCCCTGAAAAATGACAGCTATTTGCTGGTTATGAAGTCATCAATAAATTTTCAGATATTTTATTCCAAGTTAAAGGCTTCCCAGACAATTAATGTTACAGACTTCGAAAAAGATAACAGTCTGACAAGGCCAGAGAAAGTATGCCGCATTTGGCAGGACTTCCCATCCCAATGCATAAATTGTGTCCTATGTTTTTTTTCCATGTACATTGTCGTGCTGCAAAATCACATATCTTGTTCCTGGTCTGATAAATAACCGTTTTTGTTCTAGCTGGTCATATAAATTCATTAATTGATTTTGATAATATTCGGCAGTTATTGTCTTTCCTGGTAAATTTATAATGATTATTATATAATTTATTATTATAATGTTTTAATGTTAATTTAGTTTATAACGGATGATTTCTTGGAAATCTCACCATATAAATACCATATAAACTTTTTTACAATGCAAGTTCGGTTTTGCTTCGATTTTACAAGCCACTGAAATCGTTGGTTACCCGGAATTAACCCATAATTTCCGTTGTTTGTGATTGTCATATAAAACCCATTTTTCATCGCCAATAACAATTTTGTGCAGAAAACTTTTCCTTTTATGCTATGAAAAGCAGCAGAAATCTGTTTTTCTTATTTATTTCGCTTAATTCATGTTTATTTATTTCGCTTAATTCATGTGGGCCTCCTTCATCGTCAAACTTTTGAATCTCACCTAATTATTTCAGTTGAATACTGCTTGTCTGGTAATTTCCAATCTTTTTGCGTCTGGGTCGGATTTTCGTTAAGCAATTCCTCTCCGTCATTAAACTTTTCCGATGCATGATCATCATCTTTTAAATTAAAATTTCCGGTTTTAAATCTTTGATATCACTTTTTGCATGTTCTGTAAAATATAACATTCTCTCCCAGTGCCGCATTACAGTAGCTTCAATAGCTGATTTCCTAAGCTGGAATGCAAAAAATAAGAAGTGATAAAAATGACGCTTCTCGCCATATTGTTTGAAATTGTTGCATAGGATTGGAAACTCTTAGAACGTTCATCACGACTCTTCTTAAAAACAAAAGAACGCTTTTATAGATGGCACCATAACAAACGGGAAGTAATTCGAATTTGCTCAGAAGTTATGATCGTAGAAAGAAAGGGGAAGGAACTTATTTGCACACCTAATAAAATATTCAAATCTATAATAAAATAATTATTTTAATTTTATAGAATAAAACTTGTAATATAATTTAATAAATTAGAGTAGAAATGCATTATAGATTTATACTGATAGTTTACATTATCATTTCTATACATTAAATTTTGTTTCTATGAAAATTTAATTATGTTCTATATTCAAAAAATAATTCTATGAAAACATGACTTACAAAAGAATTTAGTTGCACGTGCACAGTATCAGATACAACTACTAACTACTAAGTAGCGAAATATATAGGTTATAATCGCATACGGGGTTATTAATCGCATTTTATATATTCAAATTTATTTATATTTTATGATAATTTTTTTTAATTTATAAATATTTAAAAAAATGGTTGTATTTACTTGTAATAATTGTGGTGAAACATTACAAAAACCAAAAGTTGCAAAACACTATGAATTTCGATGCCACACCGCGCCTTTTTTAACATGTGTCGATTGTTTGAAAGATTTCAGGTAAATATTAATAAAAATGTGTATATTTTTATTTTTTTTATAATTTCTAATTAAATTATATTTTTATTATTATCTAAAGAGGTGATCAATATGTAGCACATACGAAATGTATAAGTGAAGCTGAAAGATACGGGGGTAAGGATTATGTTCCGAAAGCTGGAGCAAATAAGGGTGAAAGAAAGCAACAGAAATGGATTGACACAGTTAATAATATTCTCAATAATGAAACAAATTTATCAAAAACAGAACGAAATTTTTTAAATTTATTATCAAAGCATGAAAATATTCCACGTAAAAAAGTTAAATTTTTAAATTTTGTAAAAAGTGCTCTAGGTCAGAAAATACCATCAGTAGTAGTTGATAGTGTATGGAATAAAATAGAAACAGCTTATAAAAATAATGTACAAAATATTAATAGTGAAAAACAACAACAAGAAAATGGTAAGTTTTTGTTACTCAATTTAATATTTATTTAATTTAAATTATAAATTTTTGATATACATATATAATATGTATTTATTTATATTTTATAATAAACATAAATAGGTAAAATGAATGAAAAAATAAATAATGTACAAGATACAAGTATATATCAAGAAAATAATATTATTGAGAATCAAAATAATGAAAATATAGACAAAGAAAATCAAAATGAAGACCAAGATAAAAATAATTTAAACAACAGTGAAAATGGTATTGACAATGATACTATCAATAATGCTAAGAAAAAGAAACTTAAAAAGAGAAAAATATCTGAAACAATACAAGAACAAGTAGAAGAATTTGTAAAAAAAAAAAGCAAACAGGATGTAGAATTTACAAAAGAATCAGTTTCTAAAAAAAAAAGCAAAGATATTGCTATAGAAAAGTTAGATGAGATAAAAAAAAATAAAAATACTTTGCTATTTGAATCATCGATTAATCAATGTGATAATATTATAGAGAAAACTTTCAATTGGAAAAATGTTATTTTAGACATAGTAAAAAACAAAGGAGAAATTTCCTTAAAAAAATTACAGAAAAAAGTAATTTCACAATATATGAATTCCTGTTCAAATATTATATCATATGAAAAAGCATGTAGTAAATTCAACAAAAAATTAAAAAAAATATCAGAAATTATCATTTCTGATGAAAAAGTAACTTTAATTTAATTTAATTGATATGTATTAGTTTATAATTTTTCAATATACAATATTATAATAATATATAATATTACTAATGATTTATCATTATTGTAATAAAAAATTAGAACCATCTTTATTCAAATGAAAAAAATTTTATAAAATATTATTAAATAAAATATACATATAGAAAAACATTTATTATTTTTTTTTTATTAAAATAAACAAAAATTTTTGAAAATATCACAGAATATATGTAAAATTAATTTATCAATAATAAATATTTTAAATACATAAAATATAATTATTATAATATATAACAGTAATTTTTTTACAATAAAAAATTATTCTGTGAAACACATTCATTTGAAAATACTTCAAAACAAAATTAAATATAGAACTTGTAAATAAATATTTTTATGAATTGTATTTTGATATCAAATTTTTAAGATATGTATAATTTTTACAATTCTTTAATGAAAAAATTGATATTGAAATATGATTTAAAAGTAAATAATAAAATTTAGAGATTTAATGTTTATATTAAATGTTTGAAAATTTATCTAAATACCAAACATGATTACTCATAGTAGCTAAAAGACCCCATGTAAGTTCTTTAGAATCATGAGGTCTAAAACTTATCAATTGTTGATCAAACAATTGAGTAACTGTACCACCAAGAGCAGTAAGAATTGCAGTTCCTGCACAAATGTCCCATTTTTTTATTGCAGTCATATGGACATATGCAGTTACATTTCCACTTAAAACTTCTAAAAATTTGTAACCTAAACATATATAAATTTATTTCTAATAAAAAAATTTAATTCTTTCTTTTTTATAAATGAGATTTTTATAATAACAAATATTAAATAATAATATTAATAAAATTACCTGCACCAGCTGCAGGAATAATTTTTACATCTTTACCAAATGCAATCTTAGAAACATTATAAATTTGGCCAGCATGTGATTGTGATACAATCAATATTGGTATTCTTTCATCTTCTAACTAATTTTAAAAACATTTTTAAATTTTGAAGAATTTACATATTTTCCTTGTAATATTTTTGTATTTATTACCTTATGCAGTATTTGTAAATTTTTTGAAATTGCATGATTAGTCCATGACCAAAATAGACTAGAATTTTGCTTTGTTTCAAATGGTTTATATATAACACCTATTATAGGTTTTCCTTTTACAGCAATACAAACCATAGTTGTAACATATTGTAACAAATTTTCTAAAATGAAAAAAAATAATATATGATATAAGAAACATATATATATATAAAATATATAAATATATATAAAAATATATATATTTATATATTTTTCTATACAATAATGAAAATACCTGTAAATTCTTTTGTTGCATCAAGAGGATCAATCCAGACTGTAATGTCATTTATATTTATAATTTCATCCTTAATATCATAATCATTTAAATTATTAATATTATTTTTTATATTTGACACTGTAATTTTATCACAATTTTTTGATGTTTCCTCTGATATTACTGTTATACTTGGAAATGTTTCTAACAAAGAATGGACCATTGCACAGTGTGATCTATAATCTGCTTCTGTTACTGGATCATTTATACCTATCAAGGTTAAAAAACTAAATTATTTTTATTATAATATTTTATTATAAATATATGTTCTATATATATCATTTATATATAAAGTTTTTATTTCATATACATAAATATGAAATACATATATTTCATGTATTCTAAAAAATGTAAGTATTTAATATAAATCATTACCTTCTTTCGTTTTTCCTTTACTTTGTATTTCGAATTTTGCTTGATTATGAACTGCAATTACTTCAGAACCACCAATTTCTGCTGCTTTTATAGCAGCAGTAAGAAGTAATTTTAAAGAAATATTTTTATTCTGTAAATCTGTATATAAAGTTCGATTTGTATATAGGTATAATACACTTAATAATATAATAATTCCACAAAAAATTGTTTTTCTTGTTCGGACACTCATTTTGATATGTACAATACAATTCTTTCTTTTTTTAATTTAATGTATTCGCGTAACTATGATTTATTTTATATAATGAAACATTTTAATTATTCTATATGCGGCCATTTTTAATTTATTTGAAATTTCCAATAATATTGAATCTTTATGTTCTATGTATGTATAAAATTGACATTGAACCTGAAAATTATACGCCACCTGTAATTTTTTTTTGTATTTTATTATATGTTTTATAAATGTTAATAAGATTATATATGTTTATGTAAAATTATCATTATAATTATATTGAATTATTCTATGTAAAATAATTAATTTTTTAATATATATTTTGTAATAACTTCGTTATTAAGGTTATATTTGATTAGTTAAATATATTGCAAATTTAAATTGTTAGCGTAGTATTATTTGCAAATAAATTTAAACTTTTTTTAATAAGTAATAGTCAAATTGAAGGAAAATTAAGTTACAATAAATTTATTATTGAATCAATAATTTATTTTAAAATGTATCGCATTTTTAACGATGTATTAAATACAAACTTTTTATATCATATTTCTTATTTTAAATATTTTGTCATGTATATTATTTTAAATATATAGCTTTATATAATGTTAAATTGATTTTAATTAAATTTTATTCAGATTTTTTATGTAATTAATGCAATTAGAATTTCTGCAATAAATTTCTAATATCATTAAATTGATATATTTTTACACATTATTCTATAAAAGGATGAATTTTATTGATCAATAATAATACATTTCAGAGTTTTAATGATATTATGTGCAACGTAGTTGATTTAAAATATTTTGATTTAAAAAATAGTGATTAACATCTTGATTGCTTCCAAAAACGATTGTGTAGAATTAAATAATACTATACATTCAAATTGTATGTATTTGTTTATAATTAATTTAGATTGCACACTATAATATTCAATATTAAAATAATTACTTATATTTTTACCTAAGTAAATAATACAGTGAGAGATGAATATTAAATAACACAATAACAAATGTAATAACATTTTATATCTTTAATGATACTATTTTAATAGAGATTACTGCAATATATTAATTTGATATCATCTTAAAGTGCACTTTCTACATAAATAATGAAACATTTTCTTTGCTTATTAATATCATATGTGCACTTTTCTTGGCTGCATTTTTATATTTTATAATTTATGCTTTTTCTATTTAATTGAGTGAGATAATATGTATCTTTTATAATAACAATAATAATTTAACTTCATAACTCACACATTTTACATCACTTTTTTATTATAATAATAAGTGAAATGCAGCCTTTGCTTTTTTGTTTTCTAACTTATGCACCTAATTCTTTAAATATATGATAAAGTTAATTCAGCAATTTTATCTATGAAATTTTAGTAATTACTTTAAGACACAAAAACTGTCACTCCACTTGGTCCAGCTATAACTGCACATAGACAAGTTGTTTATAGTTTTCGCAGTTGCTGTTACACATTGTCATCTATTTAAAACATAATAAAAAATGCTATATGATTTTTGTAGCATTTATTAAAATATTTATTAAATAATTTAAAAATTATTTAATTATATTATATGTTAAAAATAATTCTAAATATAGTAATAATATATTAATTATATATATTATAGAATACTTACCATGATACCACCATTTTGTTTTCTTTGGATTTTTACTACATGTTTTTACATAAAAAGAATTATCAGGTGGCCTTTTCTGTAGTAAAAAAATTTTTTTAATATTTTTTATTATTATTATTTATTATTAACTATTATTTTTTTATTAAATTTATTCTTAGGAATTTTTTTTACCTTCTCTTTACAACTACTCAACATTGATACAATACTTAAACAAATGCTCTGTACACTCAAAGCTGGAGACCAATCTTCAGTTAAAATGGATAAGCATATGTGGCCATTGCTGTAAATATGTGGATGTATTGGTATATTTCCACCTATAAAAGTCACTTCTGGTGAGTCAAATGGATATTTGGAACTGAATCTAAATTGCAGTTGAAATTGTTCGCCTTCATATAAGGTGCCTTTTGCACCTTCCATGTGAACAATCCATTGTGTTAAATTTTGACTAGTAAGATCTTCATCTACATGTACACCTGGTGGAGGTTCACGTATTAAAGATGTTAATTCTTTCTGTAATCTTCTCTGAAATAATATTTTTTAAATATATAATCAAAGTATAAAATTGTAATAATGTTAAAATTATGTAAATGTAATAATGTTTTAATTATGTAAGTATAATAATTATAAAAATATATTTCAAAAGAATTATTTAAAATTAACATTTTCATTTTAATATTGAAATTTAATTACAAAGTTTATTGAATACAAATTATTATATTTATATTATAATAACATTTCAAAATTTTTATATAATTTTCATATTATAAAAAAAAATTGTATTTTAATTAATATGTATGATATATTTATATGGATTATCATAAATATTAATATAAATAATAGATGAATATAAATAACAATAATATACATATGTATATTAACATACTGAATAATTCTTAAAAAATGTAATTGTGAAAAATAAAATTTTTACTATTTTTTAAAATTATATTATAGAAACAAAATAAAAAAATGAAATTAAAATTTAATACATATATAAAATAGCGCGTCTAATTTGACATAAAACGTCATCCAAATTTTGACGAATAATACGCGAATTATCTTTTTAATAATATATAATATTTGGCGAATCTTGTAAAATATATTAAATATAGAATCTAATTAACTTCCATATTATATCAATGTTATAAAACAGAGAATTTTGATATGTATTAAGAAAATTTTATTATTAACTTACCTTCGATGGGGACATTGCCGCCATTGTCGTTTTATCGCTCATTGCAACATACATGAATTACTTGCTTTATTCATTTCTCGATTTAAGAATGTAAAGTTGCTGCAACAAGAACGTTTAGCATTTTTTCCAAATTTTGTATTATATCATCATAAGTTAAAAAAAGAGGTAGTAAGATAGTCGTAAAATACGTAGCGATGACCTACGTAAATTAGTTAAATTTGACAACCATTCCCACATACTGAGGCGAACACACAATATAGGATAATATTGCTATATTATGGTCAGTAAATATTTTATTAAAATGCATTATCGACGATGATTTTATAAACTTGATTATTGTTTAAATTAAATAGTCAAAAATCGATGTTTTTTGTTCAAGACTTTATAATAGTGTATAAATAAAAATTTATATAAAGAAAACTAATTATATATAATATAAACTAAAATGAATAGACAAATAAGTGTTTTAATTTCTTATTTCATTTTTTTTAATTGTTACTTGAAGTTTATGTAAACAATAAGACAATAAAACAAATATTATAAAAAGTCAAAGGAAACTTGTAATTTTTAATATTTTTCATTTATATCAATTTGTAATTATTTTAATTGTATCAATATTAATCGATATTGGACATTATCTAAATAACCAATAGAAAAAATCGATTATATTGCAGATCATATATTATTTATATGTATAGTATAATATAAAAATAATCAAAAATACAGGTGTTATAAATTTTATGAAACTATTATAAATAAAATAAATAATTTATTATCTTTTATTAATTTTACAAACAATTTATGATTGTGTTACAGCCTACAGTAAAATGATGAAGTTCAATATTAAATTATTTCAATTATGATGTAATATTTGTTAAAAAACTTCTATTTATGAATTATATATATATTTAGGTAAATATTTTTATATAACTATTAACTATATAATATATAAGTGAAATATATGAATAATTAGTATTAATATTTTTATTCCTTAATACAATACTTAATTTAAATATTAATTATTATTTTTATAAAATGTACTGTTTTATTATGAAAAAAAAATTTTTAGCTTCAATGTAAGGAAATGATAAATTATTAATGACTTCAGCCGAACATTTTATTAGTTTAATTACTGTGGCAAGTGCTAAGAAATTAGCCACTGCACTTGTCTTGTGTTTTATTTTATATCATGGATTAATGCACATTATATATGGTAAAAATACTTATATTTTTTAGCTTTGTTTATTTGACTTATATAAATTATGTATATATACTTATATAAACATTAATAATATAAACTATGTGATTAAATATATATTTATCTTTATTTCTAAATTTTTAAATTTATATTATATATTTAATAATTATGATTAATTTAGGTAGTGACTCTTGTAAATGGTTATTAACAGAAGGAAGATATAAAGGAGATAAAGAATGGCAGCCTTATGGTTGTATGATGCATTATTATACACAAACGTAAGAATTTAAATTATTTAAATATTATAATGTAAAAAAATATTTAAAAAAAATTTTTTTTTCTTTAGAGACAGTCGCAGATGTTTGAGATATCTAGCTTTCATGGGCCACCATAATCACTTTGTATTTATTGGAGATGTTAGAATCAGACAACTATATAAGTCTTTTATATCACAATTTATAGTTGATGGGAAAGCATCTGATTTAACAGAATTACCAGAGAATTCTGATTTAAATTTCAATGATGCACAACTTAGATTAAATGTACAATTTTTGTGGAGACCTCAATTGGATAATACTATGGTAGAAGATCTTAGAAGTTGGATGGTAAATATCATTTAATCATAAAAACATTTATAAAAATTTTAGAATTATATATACAATGATTGTTGTTAATAATGATTGTAATAATGATATTGATAACTGATATTAATGACTGTTATTTTTCAGAAAACTGATGCACCTAGTTTAATTATTTCAGGCTGTGGAGCAATGACAATTCTTGCTAATAATAATAGTGACACTCAATTGTACTCTGAATATAGTATGGGATTAGTGAGACTTGTACAACCAGTAGACTTTTTAGCCAAAAAAAATACAAAATATTTATGGATGTTGCAAGATCCTGTAGTAAAAGAAAGACTGCCAGCTCAATTATCAGGCATAGATAATAGACAGATCAATTTATGTAATAAAGCAGCAATAAAGGTAGATTTTATTTTATTAATTTTTTGATAATTATTGAAAAAAAATTATTAAAATATATTGATCATACACAGATACTATCTCATAGTGAGGTTCATATATGGGAAAGTAGTAAACTTGTTGGTGCAGGTGTATTGGAACAAAGTCCAGATGGATATTTAGCTAGTCCTTTGTCTTTGCGACATAAGATTCAAATATTGTTAAACACTTATTGCAATGATCATATGAATTTTGATGATGGAAGTTGTTGCAGTTATCCAGAACCAGCAACAATATTGCAATTATTAAGTTTGTCAATACTTGCTTTATGGTAATTTTTTATATATGAAAATATTACATATTAAGTAAATAGTAAATAATAGTTCATTACAGCATAATAATTGGTGGTGGAATGTGGTTGTATAGAAAGTTTTGTTATTATCGAACTGAAATTTCTTACTTACGCGTTGAAATGGAAAATACTGAAGAAGCAAATAATTCTGAAACTATACAAATTGAGCAACCTGAAGTACAAGATTTTTATACTTTAATGACATCTCTGGCTCTCTTGTCAATTATTTTATATTACTTTTATTTATGTGATAGGTAAATATATTTATGTCAATAATAATAATATTTGTTAATAATGTTAGATTTTTGTTTATATTTAGGACAAATTTCTTTATGAAAGAAAATAAATACTATAGTGAATTTAGTTTTTGGTTGCCATTAGGATATATATTAGCTCTTGGTTTATTTTTTACTGAAGATAGAGAAAGAGGGCCAAGAACTTTAAATCGAGAACAAACAGATGAATGGAAAGGATTAATGCAAGCTGTAGTATTAATTTATCATGTTACTGGAGCTAAAAATGTCTTACCTATTTATATGTATTTAAGATTAATTAATTCTGCTTACTTATTTCTTTCTGGATACGGACATTTTTGTTACTTTTGGCAAACGGGTGATGTTTCTTTAATAAGATTTGCACGAGTATGTATTAAAAAAATCTAGATTTTATTAATATTAATTCTGCAATGACTAACATTTTTTCTAACTTTAGTAAGATATTTTTATTATTGCGAAATTATTATATATATGTATAAATTTATAAAATATGTTTTTAATTTGATCTGAAAAATTTCAATATATAATTTGATAAAAAAATATGCCATTGCAGAGTTAACAACAAATATTGTGTTTAAGTTACATATTATATCTATTATTATTTATTATTTATATCTATTATTATCTATTATTTTGCAGGTAATGTTTAGATTAAACTTTCTAACTGTGTCTTTATGCCTTTGTATGAACAGACCATATCAGTTTTATCACTTTGTTCCTTTAGTCTCATTCTGGTTTCTAGTAATTTATTTCTTAGCATGGTTACCACCAAGAATATATTCTGGTAGTTTAAATGAATATGGACCGAGAGCTTTACTTTATCTTGCATTGAAACTTTTAGGTCTTGTATCAATGATCACAATATTATACATGTCAGAGGTATTAAATTATAATTTATTTACATATAAAACATTATTTACATATACTAACAAATACAAATAACAAAAATATACAATATATTATTATTTAATAGGTGTTTTTTGAAAAAGTATTTGTAACAAGACCTTGGAAAGCATTATTTGTTACAACTGATGATGATATACGTGAATGGTGGTCACGTTGGAGAGTGGATAGATATAGTATGACTTGGGGAGTAACTTTTGGGGCAGGTCTTGTAGCTTTGCAAAGAATAGATCACATTCCAGGAACTGCGTTATCTTCTCTATTAGCATTAATTTCTTTAACTGCTTATACTACTTTTACAATATTATGTCATTCAGTATCTGAATGTGAGGAAATTCATTCATATGTTGCATTTATTCCAGTAATAATTTATAAATTATAATTTATTTTCAAATTTATTTTCAAACAATTAAATTTTAATTTTTTAATTACAGATTATAGGTTACATTGCACTTAGAAATGCATCATTAGCATTACGTGGTAAGCATTCAGCTCTTTTGACTGGTTTAGGTCGCATCAGCTTAGAAACTCTAGTCGCACAAGGTCACATTTGGTTGGCAGCAGATTCGCATGGTGTATTAGTTTTATTGCCAAGATTTCCAGTATTAAATCTTTTAGTTACATCATTCATCTTTATATGTGCAAGTCACGAAGTAAGTATTTAATTTCTTTTATATGTCTAGAATTAATAACAAATTTATATCTAATTTTATATAATGTAAAATATGGTATAGTATGAAGTATTTCATTTATTTTGATAGATACATAGATTAACTCAAGTATTAGCACCATATGCAGTACCAAATGATTGGAGACTAGTGGCTCGCAATTTATTATTATTTATTGCAGTTCTTGTACCAATTGGCATTCATGATGGAATGTTTTGAAATATATGTTTTTATAATTAGTCAAATTCTATATATAAAAAAATGCTTCATGTATATGTAAGTATATATAAAGTATTTTACAATATAATTTTGCAAAATAAAATTCACAAAAAATTATTATAAAAAATGTACAAGCTAATTTTTTTATAGATTACAAACATGTTTCTAATATTGCTGATAATTTTTTCAAGCATTAAAACTTTATATCTATGAAGCAAAATTAAAGAATAATTACATATTTTTTCTTAAAAAAATAATAAATAATATGTTAAACTAAATTATATTTTGATTCTCCAGAAAATAGAAATGTTCACAAATTTAATTAATGAAGACAATAAGCGCAAATATCATTTCTATAATTTAAAAATTATTTTGATAAATTTCTTCAGAGAGATATATTTTTTAAACTTTAAAATAATCTTTGTTAGAATTGAAGCAATAATAAACAAATATCTATTTACTCTAGATTTTTGAATATTTGTTTTTTAAATAGAAATATTTGTCATTTAAATCAATACTAAGTTTTTATTGTATAATCATACTGCATCCTTTAAAATATAAAAACAAGATTTCAATGACAAAATATTATGTTAATAATTTATTATAATTACCTTATCTTACACTATATAAAATTATTGTAAATTAAGTTATTCAAATACTCCAGAATTCTAGACAATGAGAATAAATTTATCAGAAAAAACTTACAGGACATCTAATCTGATTTCATTCGCCAAAGATTCCATAAACTAAATGAAATAATTGTCAAAAAAATATCTGAGTAATTTTATTTTAAACTGAGTAGATAAATATCACTGAATTATTATAATTTCTAATAACTGTGTAAATTTATAGATTATATTATACTATATATATATATATATTATACTATCTTATCATAAAACTTATGAAAAAAAATGTTTGAAAATACTGTTTTACTTTGCATTCTGGCCATAAATTAAAACTGAAAGTCATCTTCCAAAATAGGGTCTATGTCAAGAATCTATCTGGATGTAAGATAAAAAATATAGCAAATAGAGATATTTATATTTGTTTATGTTAAATAAATAGATTTATTAGAAGTTGTTAAATTTTATTTTTCAAGATAAAAAATAAAAATGATCAAGATAAAAAATCTAGTCAAAATGCAAGGTTTAAAATTATAATTTAATCTTTTCTTATTTTATTAATTTTATAAAAAAAAATAATTTTAAAAAATGAAAAGAAATATCTTTTTGTTTTTGAAATATTATATAAATTTTTAAAATTTAAAACATAAGAACAATTTATACATATAAGAAGAATTAATAGCATAAAATCAGAAAGTACAACAAAAATTATAGTTGTTTGTAATAATAACAATATATATTATATATATATTTAATTAGATATTTAATAGAGCCTATCTAGAAATAATTTGTCAATATTTACTATTTTTTGAATTATACATTAGATTATCATGTTTTACATGACTAGTATACACATCATAGCCAAGAGATATAGTATTATCATAAAGAACTCTATATTTACTTGGTAAAAAATAAAAATTAAAAATTTGTGCTGGTGGCCAAATGATCCATTCTGCTATATATAATCTATATGCTTTCTTAATAATTTCATTTTTTAAATCTGACCAATTGCTTTTTTCTAAAAGACCTAATGTTAAAAAAAACATTGTAATGCAAAGTGGAGAACAGACTAATTGATCTATAAAAACTTTTTTCAAAACAATGTTAATTGTACGACCTGGCAACTTAGCATCTAAATATTTATACCAATAATGACAGACTATACCAATAGACATACCAGATATAGCCATGTTTTTTGTTCTATTTATACTCCATTTATCCCATTCACCCTATGAAAAAATGAATTATATGAATATATTATATATTATATGAATATTTTAATCTACAATAAAAATAAGAAAGTATCATATTGAAATAAATGTCCTAAATAATTACCTTTAATATCTCATAATATTGTTCTAATACATCTCCAGTAGCAGAGAGAGAAATAGATATTGTGACATTAGTATAAAGTAAATATTTAGGAGAAAATAACTTATTTTTGATTATAGATATTTTATTTACAATTAAATTTATATTTTTGGTAATGTTCATGATCTAAAAAAGAAAAAATAATGTCAATCATAATTATTAAGGTTATTTTAAGGTTAACAATTAGCTTAAAATAAAAAGTTTAGTTTATAACATATTAAATATGTTTGAATAAAATTAAAAGTTAAATATTATAAACTTAAAATATAATAACTTACAAATAATATAACACTAATATAACAGTCAAATATTTTTTGTTATTTAAAATGAAAAACATCATCTCTTACTTACTTGTGAAATAAAAATTTGATATTTGGAAAAAATACAAATTTAATCGGTATTAAATATTTATAACAATTTTACAAATTTTATTTTATTAAATTATTTTATTATTTAGTAAAATATAAGTAGATTTCATATAGATTTTAGACTTAATTTAATTTTTTTCTAAATATATTACATTATAATATATACATTATATATGTAATCGTACTATTTTCAATTTTTCCTTTGTAACATGTATTTTATAACTTTTATAGTTATAAATTATTAAAATTATTAAAATTCTTTATCTTATTATTATATTTCGAAACTTTTTCTTCAAAACTTTTTAAATAAATAAAGTTTTATATATTTGTACAACATAAAATTTTATTTATTTAAAAAATTTTTATTTACAACTTAATAATTCAAAATAATAATAGAATTTATATAAAATAATAAATAACATAAGGTGCTGTTTTCATTAAAAATTAATAAATAATTTTAATATAATCTTTAATAATAATAATTAATAATTTAAAAATATTAATTGTGTTGTAAATTTTAAAATTAAATTATTATATTTGATAATTATTTTTGGCATTCTAGCAGTTTTACAAAATTTATAATAATATATATTTCAATACACATAATTATTAAAATTTTAATTTGTATACAAATATATAAATTATAAATAAACGAAATTATAATTAAATATGTATATATTTGTATATATATAAATTGAAAGTAATAATACTTAAATTCCACATGCTTGTCATCCATTTTTTCTGATTTGGCGCCTAAACTGATAAAAGAGGCGGGATTTTACACAGTATTGGTGTTGATATAGGTAGCTGTTATGGCGATTTGAGACTTAATTGTAATTTATTAAAATTTTGAAAATCTTAACGGATTTCTTATATTACATACATATATATATATATTCGTATATAAAAAGATGTCTCAACCATCAGTAACGGCGTATTTTAATACGCGTAAACGACAAGCAACTGACGATTTGCGAAGCAAGGCAAAGGTTTTGCTTCTTGATCAAGAACAATCGAAATTGGTGAGTAATCAAAATCGAACATCAATAAATAAGAATAATTCCGAATTATCGGGAACATTAATTTCGATTCAAGAAGAAAAAGCAATGGGCACAAGTCCGAAGGTTATTTTTGTATCTGGAAAAGAATCAGTGAATAATCGTACTTTAAAATCAAATTCGGTTGTTCGGAATATTCAATTCGATTCTCCTAAATCAAACATTCAAAAAACACTTAAACATAATGTTCGTACTCGAGTCACACGTTCACGAAAATTATCTGGTCAAGAAGGACAGGTAGATATCAGAGAAAGTTTTCAAAAAATCGCAGAAGATTTAGATGAAAAGAAAGTATTGTTTGAAAAGAAAGGTGCATTAAGTCCAAAAAAGAAATTTCTAGGAACATCTAAAATAGATGATGCTGCTAAAAATTCAACTATAAATATTTTAAATGATCAATTATCAATTAATTTCACAACACCAAAAAAAGGTTCTAATATGGATAATTTGGTAAAACAAGAGTTATCCCTTAATGAAATAAGAAATAAGATTAATAAGTCTTCTAGGCTTATGGAATTAAAAGCCTCTATTGCACGTTTCAAGAATTGTGAACAAAGATTAGAACAATTTCATAAACAAAATGATATTAAACCGCAAATACAGAAGTTTGAAAAGATTCAACTTGAGATACCAATTAGGTAAGATATTTATGAAATCATGTTTTATGACTTAAATATCTTCTTTTTTTTGTTTTTTTTTTTTTTTGTTATAATATTTGTGTTATTTATATAGTCCACAGAAAGCACATAAATCTCCAATCAAAACAATATTAAGTCCTTTGAAAAATAAACAATTAATGAATGCCAGTCCTCAACGCAGAATTTTATTTGAACCTAAAGACACACCTCCTAGCCCAGTGAAAAGTAGTCCAATTAAAATACCAGCTTATCAACAATATTTATCACTTGCTGAAAGTGGCACTCCTGCTTTACCATTACCATATCATTATAGATTCTTGGCAGAGGCATTCAGATGTTTAGATACAGTAAGTATTATTTTGTATATAAAAAATATATAAAAATATTTTTTGTAAATTTTTTACTATATATTATTTTATTAATTGTATAGATTTCTGCAATGCTGTTCAATCGTAAAGAAACAATAACTTTTAAAAAACTAAAACCTGCAATTCAAGAATTATTGCGTAAAAATTTCACATTAGAACATCTAGCACAAATTAAAACTATTTATCCAGATGCATATAATTATTGTCAGGAAAAACATCATACATTTGGTTCAACATCCAAACAAGATAAATTTGAATTAATTCTTATACCTTTCATTGAAGAAAAGGATGGAAGGAATACCCCAGATTCAGATGATGTTTTAAAAACAGCATCTGAAGCTAGTATGGGACCACGAATATTACTTGAAAGACGAAGAAAGTTTTATAATATCTTACTTGGTATTGAATTTATTTTTTTGAAAATATTTTTATATTTATTTATCATTTAACTTCATTTTATATTAACTTATGTTATTTTTCAATTGTAGATAAAGTAAAAGATGAACATGAAAAATTTTTACTTAGTTTGGAAACACCAATGCATGTACCAAAAGAAAAAATTGTTCGTTGGCATCCTGAATTTGATGTAGAAAGTTGTAAACCAATTGAACAATCTGATTTACCTCAACCACCTCATGTTGAGAAAATTACAACTGCAAAAGATGTTCTTGGTAAAAATAGAAATAGAATATAAATCATGTCTTTTGTATATTTTAAAATTTAAATTAATTTTTATGAATTTTTTTAGATAAAGCAAAGTCATTATTCAATTGCGGCACTCGCATGGAAAAGGCATTGCAACGATTAGCAGAAGCAAAGATGACATCTAAAACTCTTTCTTCAGAAAAGAATGAAATAAACAATTCAACTCAAACAGAAGAGAATATAAGAAAGATTAATATTACTGTTGTGGATACTCCACCTATCACACCTACTGTACAAAACAATCATCTTAGCACAGCCCTTAAAGGCATACCAAAGGCCCTTCTTGAGAAAGTAAATATTTTCATCTTTGTCTCTCATTATATTATTTTATTTATATTTTAATAAAATAATTATTACTATTTGTTAGGTTCGAGCTAAACAAGCTGCCAAAGCATTAGAAGCTATGACACGTACACCAAATGCTGAGAAAGAAGCTGTAATGTATTCAAGATTACCTGAATTAGTTAAAATTTTGCGTAATATTTTTGTAGCTGAAAAAAAAGGGATTTTGACATTGGAATTTGTAATTACAAAATTAGAAAACTCATTTAGAGCAAAATTAACTTCTGCTGAACTGGAAGAACATATACGTCTATTGTGTAAACTATTACCTACATGGACTAGCATACATAATGTACGAAAAATAGATTATTTAAAATTACAAAAAGAAATCGATCTTGCAAAAATAGTAAAAAGATTAGAAATTATGGCTAATAATAAAGTAAAATCATCATGACATCTATTATAAAATGATTGATTTCATTCTTGCTTTAAATTATGATTTGTATTAATTGCATTAATTTATATATTTTAATTATAACAATTTCGTTCGTAATATATTGGTATTAATTTCATTTTGTAATATATTTGGTATTAATTATAATTATTCTATATTTTGAAAAAATTTTATTTCAAGGAATAGTTTTGATTAAAAAAAATAAATTTCTTTTCTTAATTGACAAATATATAATTTATAATAATAAACATAATAAATTATATTTTTATAAAAACAATAGTTACAAACAAATTTACTACAATACAGTTATAATATTATAAGTATTTACACATTATTATTTTTTTATTTTAGAAATCTATTAACTTACATATTGATTATTATTAAATCATTATTAGAAATTTTCAGAAATATGCATAAAATATTAGTTACATATTGTAATCGAATTATTAACATTGTAATATGAAACTATTTATTAATTTCTTTTTCTTATACGAATGTCATAATGTTATATATAAAATAAAAAATAATATTAAAATTAAATAGTACCACAGATGAGGTACAAAATAAATTTAATACTCAATTCATTTTTTTGTCCTATATCTTAAAAATATTGGAATATTTTTATATTTTTATTATTTTAATATTATTATTATTAATTTGAACTAGAATATTATTGCAAAGTAATGATTGGAATTAAAATTACGTTCGAATATAAAATTAAAAGTAAGAAATAGAATGTCTATAAAATGGATATATATAAATATATTGCATTATTTAATATGACTATATAATTATATATATTAATACATATATAATCATATATTAAAATAATTGTAAACAAAATCAAATAATTGATTATTCTATATTACTTTTTATAATTTTTTTATTAGTTAAAAGTTGCTTTTATTAAACGAAAATTAAATAAACTTTTATTTTAAAATTATTTTAAAATATTTTTAAAAATTATAGAAAATATTTATAATTTTTTTTATTTTATCATATTTTTATTTATAATTTATTTTAAAATCAATATTTGTCTCAAATTGATTACAATTAATGAATTAATTAATTCATAAATTAATTCATGATGAAAATTGGATAATATATTTAGATTATATTTTTAAAAATAAAATTTTTTTTTAAATTTTTAAATTTAATATTTTTTCAAAATAATATCTATAATATTCTTTTCGAATATTTAATAATTTATATATGAAACAATTAATCAAATTAAAGAATTAAATGCAAAGAAATATACAATAATATAGTATTAAGCATTAAATGTCTTGAATTATTTTGTAGACATTAATACATATTTTTTTAATAAAATGAAATCTAATCAATGAAACGAAACTTTATCGAAAATTATTTTCGAAATCTTATTATTTAATTTGACAAAAATTTTGTAAAAGTTTTATTTTATGTAAAAACAATATTTGTATGAAAAATTTTGCTGATTTAAAAGATTTTGCAAATTAATTACAATTTTTATCTGTAGTATTGTAATAGCGCTGCTGACAAATTCTGTTATAAATCGATAATATCGTATTTGATGATTTGAGAAAAGTAAAAAGAGTTATATAGCTTTATAGCTCGAATTATATGATATGAAAATACATTTATAATTTATATTGAATAATAGATTTATTTTTTATATTTAATCTGTGGTATTCATGTCATTTAATATTAATAAAAAATGTATTATCTATAAAAAAAGAATATTTTATTTATCTACATTTGATAAATATAGATTGTTTTTCTAATTATTCAATAGATGGTATAATGGTATAAATTTCAGACATATTCTAACCTCTATTATTAAGTTGACTCATACTTATAGAAGATTTTCTGTGATATAAAAAAAATTATATATATACATAAATATTTAAAATCATGTTTTTAACCAATATTTTATTAAAAAAAAATAAAAGCAAGTAAGTATGGATTAATTAATATATAATTTAATTTTAAAAATGAAAGTAAGGTTAGTTTGTATATAATGAAATGTTTATATCAATTTATATTAATGTAACAATTTAATTTCAAAAACAAGCAATTCATCGTAAAAACTGTTTTTTTCTGTGTTCTCTTTTTTTCTGTTCTATATATGTAATCATATATTTATATTTATTTAATATAATTGTATTATGAATGTATTATAAAATGTAATAATATTATAATATACATTTAATTTTCAGAAAAATTTTAGTATTAGTAGAAAGTATAGCAAGTGGTCACAAGCTTATAAGAATTCGAGACAGAGTGGCTGATAAATTGGAAGAAGTATATTTTGATCCTTATGGTAAGTTTATTTTGAAAATTTATAATTATGAATTTATTTATATCATATTAGTTTCATGAAATTGCATGTTTTAGTTCAAGCTAAAGTACTCTATCGAGAAATGAAGAAAATTAAAAGTTTATAAATGTTAATTTATAACATTTTAATGGGTGATTATATATATATATATATATAACATAACATATAAACATATAATAATTTATTTAATAAATATATATAAACGAAATTGTATAAATACTGTAATAATGTAATAATGTAATAATATTAAAATAATAAAAAATATTTAATTAATAATTAATATATTAATCTCTTTGAATTAATTTTTGATAAAAATGAGATCCTTTGATAAGAATAAGAATAACATCCTTTACAGAGTCAAGATAAAAAAAGACGAGTAGATATTATCGTAAATGGTTTTAATAGCGACGTATATCCGATATTTTGCCTGAATTACTTATCTAATATGCATATCGAAAAAAATAAGAAAGATTGGAAGAGAGAAGGGAAATAGAGGACCTTGAAATCGAGATTGGGGTAGGTTTCCTTTGATCCTTAACAAGGAAGTTGTATTATTTCCATCTGGATTTCAAACGGTTGAAATTCACGAGGCGTGAAATAGTACTATTCTCTTTCTCTGTTTCACCCTTCTAAATCTCATTTTTTTTCTTTGTTCTTTTTTATTCGTTACTGCTTTTCGGCAATGTGGGAATACTGTGGTATTTACTGATTGCTAATTTAATTTTTTTTAACAAATTATTGTAGTTGGTAAAACAATGATTGCAATTTCAGAAACTATCTACTTCTCAAATCGTTATTTTTTATGATTGTGCATATGGCAACTCCTGACATCTACATTGTTTACTTTAAGTAATCTTCCTAAATTTTATCTTTATTTAAAAATTTTTATTTATTTATCAAATATTTTTTTTAGTAGATAATATTTTTCTTTTTTAAAAATATTAAAATAAAATAATTTTTTCTGATATATAAATAATGTTTTAAAAACCACCACTTTAAAATTTAAAGATATTTTATCAAATATTAGAAACAATTATTTATATTTTTAATTTTTTGTAATATATATATATATATATGTGAAATCAATTAGCAATTAAAATATTCTATATTTGTTATTTTTATGAAAAAAGTAACAAATTATAGGATAAGAAAATTAATTCTCAAATTAAATGGAGAAAATTTCGAAACAAATAAACCTTCGTTAAGGAGCATTTTTTTCTGGTACAATGAATTTCGAAGCGGTATGCAACAGCGAAATTGTTAAAACGTCTGTTGTTTATGCTTGACTCGGTAGAACAGCCGGTAAAGGAGGAAACAGTACGCAACAGAAAGCGAGTCGGAAAGATGGAGTGGAGCATGAGCAGAAAGAAGAAAGGGCGAGAAAAGCAAAACAGAAACGAAAAGAAAAAGGGAGAAAAAGAGAGAGAGAGAGAGAGAGGCTCGTCTGGGCCTTGGCGCGTTTCAGTTGCCTCGCGTTCGAGGGCGTTTTTCGCCCGTGAGTTGTTCTTTGCTTATTACAGTGTGTGCACTGGGCTCGAGCTCGCTAAAGTGGTTTGCTGCTAATTAACTGCGTTATTTTTACAACTCTCTTGCTCCCATCCACCTCCCACGTCTCTTTCCGCCCCCTTTCCCTTTTTCCTTCCCCTAACTGTTCTCCCACATTTGCAATGGGGTTCAATAATTCTGTGGCCGCAACGCCCTCTCTCTCTCTCTCATTCGCTCTTATTCTCTCTCTCATTTTGTTTTCACGTTTCTTATAATGCATTTTTTCATCTGTATGCTTCTGATTTTATGATGATGAAATGTAATTATATTCGTTATCTATTGTTAAAAAAATTATTGGTATATTTAATATATTTGTTGAGTATATTAATTAAAAATAAATTAAATTTAATGTTACAGAATTAAAAAATCATAAATTGCTTATTTTTATGGTTTTACGATTATATGAATGTGAATAGAAAGTAAAACGTATACGAGGATTTGGAAATGGTTCTTTCCTCGGACTTTTTTTGCTCACACTTATTACTACCTTAGTACTTGCGGCGGGTTAATTTTACCAGCATATTTTGTATGTATATTTCGAGGATGCATTTGTAGGAAATTAACGAGAATATCGGAAGGTTTTTAAGTACTCTAGTTTGAAATGGTTTTCAAGCGTGCAGCTACTTAACCGTCATTTTGCAATATATTATCAAAAAGCAAGTATCATTCACCCTTTAAAAAAGTGATTAAAAACGAATTAAAATAAAATATACTTATACTTATACTGATATTTTTTACAATTTCATTATGTTTTTATTATAATCTGTGAATTTTGTATTAAAAAATTTAATAAATTATTATATATTATATATTAGATATAATGTAGCAATGCCAATGTCTAAAAAAAAAATGAGAATTTCCACATTATAATAAATAAACTTATGAATTACAATAGCATTATAATAGCAATATAAAAATTTAATTGAAAAGATTTTATTATTGTATAAACAAAAATAATATTTAAAGGTACTTCCTTTAAAATAAAATATTTTTTTTCATATAAAAACTATTCCATATATTGTTTAAAACATGATAAAAGTATATAAAATAATATCGATCATTACGTATGATAACGTTGATATGTCATTTATAATCACAAACACCAAACAAGAAAATATTCGACCGTATTTGAATCGAAATAATTTTAATTCCATAATATCGTGAACGAAACGACTATTGGTTACGATTATCGGAGATGGTCGGAAGCAGAGAAGTCGAAGGTCGTTTGTATAGGTATCTCTCTGTCGACAGTCGTGGCACCCTTCTTTCCTCCGCCACGAAAAGGCCCTTGAAATAAATTGAAAATGGCTGATATCGCCCCGCTCTTGGATAAGTGATACCTACATCACCTACACGCACATCGGTTACCACAGATTTCCATGGGTATTCTTTCATATATTCAAAACAGCTATTCAAAAGCGGATCCAAGTCTTTTCGTATAAATGATCAATTAAAATCATGTTAAAATCTATTAATCACATATTTCATCGAAGGAAGAAAATGAAAGATTGAAAAGAGACAATATTAATCGGAATTCAATATTAAAGAATAATTATTAATCGAAAGCTTATGAAAAATAAACGAATTCAATTTATTTATATTGCTTAATGTCTATGTTCGATGCTCTGATGGTTATATTTATTATATATATATAAGTAACAATTTCTGTAGATGAATTGAATATAATGAATATTTTATATACAGCATAATTTTAATTAATTTATTCGACTAGTCATTTATATATATCTTGAAATCGAAACTAATTAGATATATATTTAGTTAGAACACTTTTTATGTTTAATATTATGAATCGGAAATATGAATATCAGCAGTGCTTCTATTAGGACAGATGGTCTATCTCATTATTCGGTGCAATCGAGCTCGTCGAAAATTTATGTACTCCCTCGTACTCCGCGATCGTAAAATCATTTCCAAAATTCACGATTTGCCCGATCGGGTAATTTTCAGCATGCACGCGTGTACTAAGCTCATTCACATGATCAAATATATACGTGTATGTAAATGATGACACACATATGCATACACGTACAAAAGTATTCAGGCATCGAAAACGTTACGAGGCTAAACGCGAAACGCGAACTGACGTACGCTTTCGCGCGCACGCTCACGCAGTTACACACGCACGAAAAGAAGCATGTGCGAGGGCACATGAACGAGAAGGTGTATTGAATCGACGAGTATCATGCAGTTGACAGCTAGAGCTAATTGAATCTTGACTCTATCTATCTGTCGACTCGAGCTGAGACTCGACTGCCGGCGCCGCTCCGAATTGCATTTCCGTTCGACAGAATCGGTCGCGCTTGAGAATTCTATCTTCTCCCTTAATCTCTCTTTATTTTTATAATATAAAAATTCAATGATTTTGAAACTGTAAAAGATCATTCAAATGTTATTTTTCTTTTTCAATTTTTGTTTTAATCTTACTTATTCAACTTTTTGAATAGATAATACAATTATTATATACCTTAGAAGTCTTATCAATAAATAATTGTTTAAAGTTGTAAATTTGCGTTAATTATGTATAATTAATATTTAACAAAATTAAATAGTTTTAATTCCTTTATATTTTGTTTCAATATTGTAAAATAAAAAATAACTATTCATGTAAATTTTTTTTTCTCTTATTAATATTTTCATTGATTCAAGTTGTTTTTCTTTTTCTTATTTATTGAAATAAAATGTTGTAAAAAATTATACAACTATCTATTAACGATTCGGAATCTTTTTTATTAAAATTTCTTTTCACCGTAGATGAAAGATTTCTGTGCATGAGGTCATTAATTACATAACGGATCGATAAAAATTCTATAAAAATTTAATTAAAAAAGAACAAAATATGAAATATTAAAAAACAGAACGTTCGTAAATCAAAGATGCAAACATTTATTAGTATATTTTTTATAACATTACTTGCAATTTTCTGTTATATTTTCGATAATTGACATTTTTGTAATGTAATTCAATATGTTTTTCGAAAAAAATTTAATCTTATCTTTTCTTTAAATAATTATGAAATAGATAAGTGAATAGAATCCATATATTACTTATTTACAATATAAACAAAATATATTTTTAAAAATATATGATGAAGTTAGATTGCCAAATGTAATTGTAACATAACATCTCGTTTAAAGAAATGATGTGGCAAACAACAAGAAGTTGAGGTTCATAATACCGATAAAGGCACAAAACCTGGGAAAGGAGGATAGGTAGGAAGGGGACTTTGTTCCCCGTCTAGGATTCTATAATCCGTACGATCTTTATCGTTAAATTCTGTACTCGTGGACCGATGCCTCGATTGCGCAATCAAGATGGCATCGAGAAAGGCATCTCTCGCCTTCGACTCAAACTACCAACAAGTATTTCAATATCCGCTCCAATATATTCCCATCGACCCTATAAACGTGTGTGCAGTTATATTGGATTCCCTTCCTCCTTCCTTCGATCTGCTTTCCTTATCGCTCTCATTTCTTCACTTTTTCCGCTCTTGCTTCCTTCCGTAGTTTGTATATGTGCATGTGTGTTCGTGATCACAGACCAATTGGTTCTTCTCGTCGCCACGCTCATACGCAATGTGGTAGCGTGTATATCTGTACATCTAAGGAAACCGCATTTAAACGCATTTGATAATCCTGTAAAAGATTGATCTCAGCGACTAGAGAATTGAATTGAACGATAATTGTTTAGCAAACATGATACTAACAATTATTGTTATGTTCTTTTTAATTTCTTTGTTATTAAAACTAATATTTTTAAATGAAAAACGATTAGAAGTTCATTATTTAAATAAAAAAACTTGAATGAACTTGATAATAGAAGTAAAGAAAATTTTTGTTTTATGTTTTCTGAGATATTTGAATTCCTTGAATCAATGCTCTTTTCTAGTGATCTTTATCTTAAACAATAAATTAAATGATAATAGAATTATCTATTAAAATTTTAATAAAAAAAATATATAAACAATAATCAAGTAATTAAGTAATTTTGAAAGAACATAAAAATAAAATAATGTTCATTTGATTAAAATAAAAACATTGGTTTAATATAATTCAAATATTCAAACGAACGCTAAATTATAATGGGATAAAATTTAAATATAAAAAATTCATATTTAACTTCATCTATCGCTTATATCTATTATATCTATCTATTACATGGTAAAAAGCAATCAAATACCTATCGGGATGATCACAAGAAATAATCTAGAAAATTCTTTTCAGATTAATCACTCAGTTTGAAGTTTTTAGATCATAAAGATATGCAATAGGCCAGGAGATATGAAATAATTTACCGTGGAGTTGCATTCTGTTGCGTTCTGTTCACTACCACCTGGGTACACATTAAAATTGTGCATTTCCCCACCTTCCCATTATCTAATTCTTTTCATCATTGCTACTGCTATCTCTGTCGTTTCTTTCATTCATCCTCTTTGTTGCCATAATCTATATATGCGTACACAGATCGTCGCTTATTATACTAATATGTCCGTCGTGCGTTCATCGCGGTGCATCGTCATCAAAAGAGATTTTCTCATTCGAGTTTAATTGTTTGGCCCGATCCTGACCAAAGAAACGGAGTGATACGGTCGGGACTGGTTTTTCACCACGCTTCAAGCGCTGGTCCGCGATCAAACGGATCCCCTTTTTATCCGTGAATCTTTCTTTACGGTTCGCCGATTTTTTGGCCACTGAATTCTTCTCGGGTATTTAAATAAAACCACCGATGCTTCGTATAAATGTTCCAGTTAGATAGAAAATTCATGGATCCCGGATAGAGAACTGTAAATAAAAGATAAATCTGTTAGTTTAACTTAATATTGAATATGAAACTTTTCGATGAACTTTTCTTGACTTTGGGAATTAATTATTGAAAATTAATTACTAAAATTAAGATGAATATGATGATAAGCAAATGTAAATCTAGAAAATTAGAGCGATTAATAAAATTAGAAATTATTGCGATGCAAATAATTGTACTTGATTTTTAAGATAATTTTAATAAATAAATAAAATAATATAAATGTTTTAAGAAAAGAATAATATTTCTATAAATAGATAGATATCTTATCCAATTTTAAGAATAAAGGAAAAAGAAAAAATTTCTTATCGAATTAGCATTTAATCTATATGAGAAAAGAATAAAAAAAAAAAAAAAAAAAGGAAGAAAGAAAGTGGTAACGGATAATAGAAAGTAGTGCCCGAAGCGTGGCTTTGCACGATTTGTGGTTATCGAACAGAATAGACGCGTTGTACTGGATCAACCATACAATGAATCCAATTGGTGAAAGGATTTTGCAATCGTACCCACCGTTTATACCAGGTATATTTGTAGGGGATACAGGTACGGTTTTAAGCATGGTTCCTTTTATAAGTACCATTATAAGTGCCATTTGAATATGTCTACACCCGCTTTGTTCGCGAATTTCAAACTAGTCATTGTCCTCTCGTTATTGTTTGAAAGGACACGAGATGACAACCGCTGTGATTAATAAAATACACCCTATTCTTCTCAAAACAATTATGTCTTTGATTTTTATAATATATTAATCATTTAATTTTTTACAAACATTCTATTTCTTATACAGTTTAAATAACAGTCCACGAATTTTATTTTACCTTAATATTATGATTTTGATTTATCTAATTCAAGAATAAATTCACAGATAATTATTTAAAAACTTTTTGTCTTTACTGATTTCGAAATATGATTTTGAAATATGTTGACAAGATAAATATTATATGAATAATTTTTTTTTATCTATAGATATAGAATATATTAATTCATTCATTAAATATTGTGTGCCAGTCGATTATATATATAAAAATAGTTTACATAATATAGAAAAGCGATATCATTAATGCATATGAATATAGGTAAAATCTAATATACTCACAGCAAAAATATTTTGTATATATTTTGAAAACTAAATTTAAATAGCGATTGTATGTATGAGAAAAAATTATTTAAAATTTTGTTCTCTATAATATTTCAAAATCGATGAGAATGAGCAGATTATTTTTAAATAATTATCATTTCATAAAAAATATCATATAACAACAAATCATACATACAAATCATGTGACATAACCTCCAAATTTTTTTAAAATATCCCAATAAAATCTATTTTTTTAAATCCTCCCTGAAAATAAATCATATTTGAAATTACAAATTGATTTAAAAAATATTCTTATGAATATTTATTTTTAAAACCATAGAAAGTTTACTTAAGCTTTTGTGCGTTTCAATCCTTCGTATCCTTTCCTTGTCAATCATTGGTTGTAATCATACAATACTCATACATTGTGTAACTTGAAATGATGTAGGGAGGATATAATTGTTTCACGATAGACCCACAGGTACATGGAAATCGGGATATTAACAAAACGTAAGAAAATATTGGTTTTCCAATCGAATAATGGCCGTGTGTACCATAGATATTACGATTGGATATCTCGTTACACCATAATCGAGGAATAATCGATCGCAAAGTTGTAGCACAAGGCAAATTGCTGGGCGTGGTAAGAACGATCCAGGAAACTCGAGAGGGCAAAAGACAAGGGCGCGTAGCAGAACGGGAAATCCGAGATTTTTCTTCCTTTCCTCTCGCGCGCGCTCTTTTATTTCTCCTGGTCATGTAAAAAGCTTTTTATTCAAACCCGTGTTCACCCTCGATCAAGCGGCGTGCGTGTGTTTCTACAGAAGCGAATCGGGGCGTAACAAAGATTCATTTCACCGACACGGGATCTTTGAACTGGGTTAATTAGGGGACTGAAAGCTTTTGTTCGATTATTCGAAGAATCTTGTTACGATTTCATCAATGTAGAAAAATTGATGAATGAAAGAGATGGTTTTTCTAAGAAATCGAATTAGTTTTATAGTAATCTAAATAAGAATATATAATAATAAATTAATCATGTCGATAATTTTAGGTTATGTTATTAATGATATACGAATGTTATCTATTTGAAATTAAAACATTTTAATTATATAAATTTATTTATATATACGTACGTAATGTCAATTAAAATAAAATTTCTGACAATTTCTAATATATGCACACACAGTAGAAAAGATTCTTGACTTCTGTAGAAACGAATATCACGCATGACAATTAGGGGAAAAAAGGGAAATACGAGTAACCAGTATCCTGGTCGATCATGATATTCCGTCTCTCTCGTGTCTCTTTCCTTCTCGCAACAAGAGCGGTCCTCGATCATCCTCTACCTCTCGTCAATGCATCCGGGGACTTCCGCGATTTCTGAATAGAAATCTCTATGGTGGCTGACAATGCAATACGTGGACAATTGCATAGTCTAATGGATCTGCCTCACATCATCGTAACTTATACGTACGTGTCGTTCGTGTAAACGATATCGACAAACGTCCATTCCGCGTGTCTTCCAACCGTTCGCAAAAACGAGATCGACATTCTCTCTATGGTGGTCGTGTCTTTCCGCTGTCATCATACTCTACTACGTCTCTCCCCTTCTTCTTCCTTTGCGCCACGGTTTCGCGCGCCGAAAAACGAAAAAAGATTCGTCCGCGTCGGGTTCGGTCGGTAAAAACGAACATGTCGTGTCTGAGTATTTCCCCCTATATATGAAATGAAAATTATTCCGCGGTTTAGGCCGCGTCTGCTAATCAATCAATAACGATGCGTTCTCCACATGCGAATAAATTAATTAGGTCGGATCGCTTTCGAGTCTCTAATTCAACGTTGGTCGCTATTCCTATCCGAAAATTTCGTTTGAAGTCAATAGAAACGCACGTAATCCCATTTGAAGTTATTTTCAATATTAGTCAGATTTGGTACCTAATATTTCGATTAATCTCCATCTCAATTACGTTATGAAATATTTTATTATACTCATTGAATAACATTTGATATGGAAGTGTATTAATAAAAATACATATACAGCTTTCAAAATTAATTGATCAATAGGATTCATTTGCAATATCATATCAATTAAACTTGATAAATTAGAAAAGAAACCAATATATTGTATTTATGTACTATTAATCATTATGTAAGGATCGAATGGTTAACTGATCTGTTCAATGAAGATTTAATGGTCCTACTAAGAGGTAGAGAAGGTATAGAAGAATCGGAATGAACTTGTTCACCGGTCTTTCTTCTATATGCGTGGGCGGTACTCCGTTCCATTTTGTTCTCTTCCTATCCTTCTTTTACCCAACAAAACGCCGCGAGACCCTCGATGTTTTGCGTATACGTACTTTATCTCGTCTTCTTTTGGTGACGGAGGAAGAGAAATAATAAAGTGAAGAAAGAATGAGATAGAAAAAGGAAGATCAAGAATCAAAGAAGAGCGAGATGGTAAAAGGAGGAAAGGAGAGAAACTTGGAATCTTTCGTGGTTGGACGCGAAGGAGGTACGCGAAGAGATGGTCCAGGCAGTTACGGCATTGTATACCTAACAGGAAAAAGAGACAAAGCGAACAAAACACTGTCGGGGCGTCGCTCCGCAAACACAGCGCCCTCACGAACGAGGAGTGAGATGAAGGACTAAAACTTGGAACAAAAGTCCTCACTTTTGTTCCCTCGAAAGTTTTTCGAATTATGGCCATAGCGGAGAGAAAGGCAGAGGGAAAAGGAGGACGGCATCGAGAGAGGTACCTCTGTGATTTATATCTCACCAAGGTTTCGGAATTATTAAACTTTCCAGGGCACCGGAAGAAAGGAGGTGAAGGAAACGATGGCTACGACGGAGACGAGTTTCTGAGAGAGAGAGCTTGTACTGTAATTAAGCCGTTTTCTAATGAAGATTGATCGGTCAATTAGCACCGTAACCTCCCACCTTGTGTCTCTTCTATTATTTAGAGCAGACTATTAAATATTTACTTTTGTGTCTGTAGTTTTATATCTTCCATTAGGTTGATATTTTCAATGGATATGATTTGTTATCAATTAATTCTGAAAAAGAAAATATAATATGATTATTTTCCCTTAAAAAGAGATATAGTAATTATTGGATAAGTTAATTAATTATTTGATAAAACGATTTATTCAATCGAAGTTACAAAATTCTAGCAAAATTAAATGTTTCATCATGAAGTCGATGGTTAGTATTCCCGGAGCCAATTCGTAAAATACTTCGATTATCCATTAACAAGCAATTAAACCGTTGGTAACGAGGTACAATTCAGACTTGAGTTGAGATATCCCTGGAAGAGATTAAAAGCTGCCACTTGTGAGTCTGGGCAAAACCACCCTTTTGCGTTTCTGTCGTTCGACCGTCTCTCTTTTACTCCCTTTTCTATCTTCTTCTTGTCTCTGTTTTGCTCAACCCCTCAACCGTCGTGGCCACAATAGAGAGTGGGAAGCCTCTTTCTATGGATCATACAATGGATATAGTATATCAAACAAATTCGACCCCGGAAAATTATTGGCCACAGTAATCCCACGTTACCGACCATGGACGATAGTTCTCCCATCAACGACGGCACGTGACCCATACTAGAACAAAGGGTTCGAAACCACGGTGAAAACTCAACCATGAGAGCAAAGATGTAAGGTTAAGCCTATACATTATTAATATTTTTCCGATTTTTCTTCACGACTATTATTACACTTATTTATATTATTTCTAAGAAATAATATAAATTCTTTCCTTTATATAATATAATTTAATATAATTTCTATGAAGATATAAAGTTAGATTTATTCATTATTAATATTCTTTCGATTTAGTTTTTAATATTCCTTTTGCAATTATTATCTTATTACTATTAATACTTACTTTATTAAGGAATAATATAAATACTTTTCTTTCACTAAAACAATTATATGAGGAATGATTTTCATTCATAATGAATCAATTAATTTTTTAGTTAATTCTAAATTAAAAATTAATTATAAAGAGATTAATCAATCAATGATATTTTACAAAAGAAAATAGTAGATTTTAGTAATTTGAATAAAAATATAAAATGAAAAAAAAAAACAAGAGAATACCGTCCATCGTTGATTTAATATATTCCACGTGATCGGATCATAACCCATCGATTGAAGCGCATCCTGATTTATGGCAAAGTACATAACAAAGATTTCGATGGCAAATCCAGAGGCGACACGTCCTTCATTCTGACAGGATTGAAAGCCGTAAAAATCCTTGTCGGACGAAAGGGTAGCCCGATCTAGGTACGCATGCGTTTGACAGAGTAGATATATTTCGATCATGGATTTTCGATAGGCCGCAAGGATTAGGGACAACCCTCTGGTGCTCTCGCACGTTTGTTCGAAACAATGCTCGACTTAACTGATTGGCCGATTACTGGTTCTGCATGTTGTATTCTCTGTGTTGTATCCAATGAATAAGAGAGTGGCGAATGTAAAGTGTAGTATACATCGGATTATCATAATAATCTTGGCTAACAAGTATTGTTTGGTTAATTGAAAAGTCATGGCTTTTCTATCTATTCTTTGTTCTGAATTAAATTTCTTTTCTTGTAAATTAATTTCTTAAATATACTATAATATATAATAATTTCTTAATTACACACAATTTTTATGTTTTTTTATTTATATATTCTTATTTTATACAAACTATGTATTAATATGTAAACAGAAAGAAACAAAGTTTTATAGGTTAACATTTGTTAGGTTGGTAATGATTAACTTTAGCAATATTTCAAATATTCCTAGCAATTGCAAAGAAAAATAAATTACTAGAAAATTTAGAAATGTATATCTAATGCGCAAATAAAAAAATATAGATAAATATTTGCAACTTTACATGTTTTCTTTCAAACATTTGATATCCTTTTCAATATCAAATTAGAATCAAATAAAAACGATTGAAGAAAAAGAAGATAGTTAAAACAGCAAATCAAAGAAAGAAAAGAAAGAGAAAAAAAGAGAGAAAGACAGATGAAGACAGAGAAAAGATAGTGGGCGTAACTCGCGATAATTTGCATGGAAATTTTTATCGGTACGGCCGAAGAGGCAATATCCAGCAGACGCATTTAAGATCTGAGTCCGGATAATAGCCACAGAAATGGGATCGTAATGCCCGAAATGGGTGACACGAGTAGGTACCCAAGGTTGCCTATATAGTATATGCCTTACATTTTCCTACGTAGCTATCATGAGCTAATGCGCGAAAATGGTGGGGTAAGTGGGATGCACACAGAAGCTTCAGTGAAAACGAATCCACCCATATCGTGCTACAGCCACACTGCACAAGAAAAAAAATGACACTCCTCCCTTGGTTTACGTCGTTAAATTATATATAGACTTTCTTTCGCCCTTGCTTACTTGTTCTTTATCGTCATCTTATGTTAATATTACTTCTATTCGAGGTCCATGGTTCTCATTGATTTTTTTGATATTTTCTAGTAAGTACTTCTAATACTCTTCTATTTGCTGAGTTTCATTAAATTTTGTTAATAATTATTCCTCTTCTCTTATATTATTTTATATTAAATTTGATAATGATTTGAAAAATATGTATAAACCAACGAAGAAAAATTATAAATAATAATTAATTTAATTTTAATACTTTTTTTTTTTATTGTCAATTGAATTTCATGTAATACAAAGTCAGATTTTCAAGTCTCTGAACATTCTTCTATTTTTAGCTGATCGTTACATTAATCCGATCTACGAAAAGGGATCTATGAGAAGGATCAACTTTCAGGAAAGCATTATACGAAGGTACATGGCGGCAGGATCGGTTGCTTGATGGACTGGAAGCTCGCGGAACGTTTCGAAATACCGTCTTAACCAAGAAAAGGGTGCAAGTACACACTCATGCACGGTCAGTGAGCACGTACACGTCGTATTACTATGACCGAATATCCAGCTTTCGTGGTTGCCTTCAGGGATCCTGCTGAGTTCTTGTTTTTTTTTTTTTCATACAGGTATAAAAGAATAAGAGACTTTGCGGAATAAGAAAGAAGATTAAGAAAAAAATCGAACCATATAAAAGTAGAAGAGTAGAAATCCAAAGAAAGAGAATGTTAGAAAAGAAGAGAAATAGGAATGTACATGCACATACAGATGTATATAAGTACTTGTCAATAGATGTGTGCGTGCCCTATAGCGTACATCCCACAAATAGACCTTGTCGTTTTCGATGAGACTATCGAAAACAATTGGCACAATGGATTCTCAAGCATTCTTATTTATTATACTTACATGGCACTGTACACTATACATAACGCGAATGAATGGGAGAAGCCGCGGTTAGACGAGATGTGTAACGCGCGTGTGCATTTTGCTCGAGAGCCCCACGAATAAGCGTGCGTGAAAGAACGCACGCGATTTTTGAATCGTAGAGCACCGTCAACGGTAAGGGAACGATGGAGAGGGTATCCACGAAGAAAAGATTAAAGAGAATTGTTTTGTGAACGGTCAATTGACAGCGTTTTGTGATGTTAATAGCCGCCTTTTAATGACATATCTTTTAATGTTCTTCATATAACACCCAGCGAAGATTTGCTAGTCATAATTTAAATGTCATTATATAATATATTAAATGTAAATTCGTGAGTAATTGGAATGTAGTACTAGACTAATTGAACTAATTTTTTTTTTATATTATTTTTTATATTTATATTTAATACGTTTACTTACACATAGTAAATCGAAGTAAAAGGTTTGATATAAATAGATATTTGAAATTTAATTTTTTTTAGGTCAAGCACATCAATATATCCATTTAAGCAAATTTTATTTTATCATGTGACTATAAGAAGAAAAAATATTGCTGTCAAGTATATACGTATGACGTTTAGCATTGGAATAAAAATCTCGTGACGTATCTGCTGACAAACATGTTAAGTTACGATTTTATTATTTTTTTATTGAATAAATTATTGAAATATATGTAATGGATAAGGGATAAAGAATTTAATCCTGAGTTTATATAGGCATATCACAGTGAAAACTGTTTGTATATAGGGATGCGTATATTCTAATGCCTCTTATGCGGGTCTCATTGTGCAACGATCTCTTGTTGCTTGTGGAATCACTACGAACAAAGATCCTCTTCTATAGGATATCTATATCATCATCCTTTTACTGTGTTGGACATCGACGAATGAATAGATAATAAGAAAAAACTCAACACATAAAACTCAATGCAAGTGAGTATTCAATATTGTACGAGAATATAATTGTAAATACTTAGATTATTATGAAGTTTGATATATCATCGACATAATTATCAATGTGATTATTATAATCAATCATATTATAATCAACAATATTAGAAAGCAAGCCTGGAATATAAACGAAATGTTATTTTGTTTTTGATAATTTTTATTGTTGAATTTTATTTTATAATTATGGAAGAAATTTTCAAGGATATATTTAATATTTTTTTATTATTATTTTTTTCCATTTAGATTTAACTTTAAAAAATTAAAAAAAATTGAAGTATTTAGATCGCGATAAGAAATTATTTTTTTAAGTTATAAAATTTTATTAATGTTTATTAATGTTTTTTAAAATTTCTATTATTTATTTCAATGATATATTTTTTTACATCTTAAGAGTTACAATATGTTTATGTTATTTACGATATTATTGTGTACGTGTTACTGTTAAATTTTTAAAAAAAGAATTTTTATTCAAGAATGTTTTCTTCAAAAATAAGCAGTGAGATAATATGAAAATTGATTTGTTCTCTACTATCCTATTTAATCAAAAAATTTGTCAATCAATGAACGAATAAACTTTTGAAAACAAGCAACAATGGTAACAGCCAATCCGGGTCCTCGAGGACCATGTCATGGACCATCGAAAATTCGGTGTCCACTCGTGCAAAAGCACTCCAGTCGATGTTTCACAGCGACAATAAAACGTCATTTTTCACGGTACCGTTTCGGAAAAAGAATCGGGCGAAAATATGGAAAACCTTCGCTGCTATTGGATTATCGTTCCGAAATGAACGGTACAAAATCATTTCTGCGTTGCGCGCCGGTGCTCCACGAGTGGTTGCACGATCACGCGCTAGCCTGTTGTAATGGATGAGTCCTGATGCTGGGATGTATATTGCCAAAGTACTTATGGCAGCACGTTTATGGCATAGAGGCTGTACAAGCCTGGCAGTGGCCGACATGAAATCCAGTCGAGCACCCTCCATCCACGTCACGTCCGCGACTGATTAACATTAACTTCATGGAAAAAATTGTACCGAATGCAGAGGAACGTCACAGTTTTCAATTTGGCCGCGATAACCGTCCATCGTATCTTTTTCCCCGTAGGTAATATAGAGCGTACTGTTTAACCGATGTTTCTCGGTATTACGAATATTTCGCTGAATTATAAAAGTGACATTTTTTTTTTTACTGTTATATAATATTTCTTTTATAATTTATAACAAAAAGTATACATATATATTTTTATTTATTATAGTGTATTTTAATGTTTCACAAATCAAAAGTTTAATCAAAAAAGAAAAAGATTATAAATTTATGAAAAGATCTATGAAATTCGCGAATGTAAGGTTAGAGTTTTGTTATTAAATTTCTATGTGTTAAGAAAATATTTAAAGTATTTATTTATTGTATAAAGTAAAAAGAAATAAAGAAAATCCGAGAAATTTAAAAAAATAAATTTAAAATTTAATTAAATATATTTAATTATAAAATTTAATTGAATATATTTTGACTGGAAAATTATATAATATCTGGAAAATTTTATAGGTTATGTTATATTTGAGATTCTATTTATTATAATATACGATATACGTATAAGCTATTAATTATATATTATATAATTTTAGATAGATTATATAAGAATTTTATATAATTTTATATAATTATATATATTTTATAAAATATATTTATATTTCCAAAATATGATATAATTATATCATATCATATAAATTACTATGTATATCTCAAATGAATTTCAGTTTCTATTAATATCTATTAATATTTATCTATTAATATCTATTTCTTCTATTAATATTTCTAGTTTAATAATAAGATATAATAATTTAAAATATGAATATTTGTTTCTTGCATTAATTTGAATTTACACAAAAATTCCAACTTATATGAGACCTATTAACCTAAATTTATTTACGTATGCAGATAATTTAAATGACAACAAATTCGATCGTGAGATTGCATCTCAATTTGGACTTAAAAATTTTGAATAAGATTCGAGACTGTTGCGTATCAAGCGATGCGTTTGATTGTTAAATTTAAAAAGAAACTGAGAACCAGCCACGTCCCCAAGATATCGGAGGTCCCCACAAAAGCACGCAGGGGTGCAGTTAATTCTAAAGCGATTAGGCGCACGCGACAGGGCAAAGGTGTCGACCTGCAATTGACAACAGGCCATGGGGTCACGAAGTAGATCGCGAGAAGGGGAGACGAAAAATTAAATTAGTCGCACGTTCGAAAGTAATCCCAGATTAATATACGTTGCCCGCGCGCGCCTTAATGCCTTTCAATGGCATACAAATGGGTTCCGAATATTTCGAAGGAGTTACCGAGGTATTTAGGACGTTCATACTTAAGAGTCAGCAGGTTTGAAAGAATTTTTAAAAATTGCGAAGAAATTTGAGAAGTTTATGAATTTTGAAGATTTAATATTGCCATTTTATATTATTTTTAATATTTATATTTTCTGCTTTCTATTTAAAAAAAAAATTTTAATTCTGTGCGAGTAAAAATTTTGGAAAATCTTGTATCTGTATTATTTTTTTATATGATTTTTTTCTATATAAAATCTCATGTCATTAACCAATATTATTACATATTTCTTTTCAATTAATTAATCTTCATAATAAGATGGTTTATTCTTTTGTCTCAATAGTTGACGTTATACCAATTAGATCATGAAAATTAGAAAAATTTGGATCTTTTGATATATTTTTTGATTCAGCTTCATTTCATTTTATATAATCATAAATAAAAAATATGAAGTTGACCAATTATTTATCAAATCATAACGTTTCAGGTATTAAAATATTTTATTCTGAAAATTATTCAAGCAACAGTTCGATTATAGAAGACAATTTTAATATCGTTGAATAATGGAGGGTTTTCGATGAGAGAAATCGAGAAGGGGAAGGAGAATCGGTGGCCTGAAAACCCGCCGTTACGTTAAGGTCACCGTTAAGGGGATGTGATAGAAATCGTGATCCTCGCGATCTAGCTACGTGGTGGGCATGTGGAAACGGTATTCAATATCCGTTGCCTCTGAAAGAAAACTGGTCGAGAAGTGGAGAGGGAATTGAAAGAGTAGGTATGCTCATTGTCGCCACGAAATTCCAGGCGAATTCGAAATCACATGGTCTGTAAAAAGGACAATGGATCACATGTCTTGGAATCGACACGATATTGGAACAATGTGCCAACATAAAATGAAAGAATATATCTATATCCTTTTCTTTATAATTTTTTTAAAACATAAAAAATTTAAAAAATTAAAAAAAAATAAAAAAATATATAATGATTACAAAAAGTTTACATGTCATATTGTATTTATTATAATATAATATATATATATATATATATAGACTAATTTAGAAAATATGTTTTTATTATTTAATAGTATTTTCATAAATTTGTCATTTTATAAATTTATTATTATAAAGATGAAATATAATTATGAAATATAAATAGATTGAGATTAATTTTTTCTAATCTATAATTTTTTTAAGTTCTGAAACATTTTGTACATCTTGAAGAAATAATGATAATTTTATTCTATAAATATTTTTTACCAAGTAGGCAAAGTTAGATTTGATGTATTCAGACTTTGAAATAGAAAGTAGACATAGTAATGAATAATACTTTGAAAGACAACTTCCAGAAAGATCCTTGTATTTACATAGAACTAACAGAAGGTTCATCATTCAACAATCTGAATAAATGTTTACCACACAATTAATAATTTCTATAATGACATAAAACTCAATTAAAGAAAAAAAAAAGGAAAAAAAAAAAATCATAAACTTATAGTTCATAAAATAAAATTAAAAAATCAATTATTTTTCAAAAGTTTAACAAATTTCTTTTTTTAATTTTTCATAAAACTTTCAATGTAAAATAAAATATAAAGAAAAAAAAAAGGAATAAAAATCGAAACACGCAAAGAAATAATAAATAAAAAACGAAAGAAAGAAACAATTTCCATGAAAAATTTCATGAAATTCTTCATTCGTATTATCTCTTCACAATATTTCAATAAAAGGAACATAAAGTATACTACTTAACACAGAAAAATCGAGAAGACGGCAGTTTGTTCTTTCGACAAAAAAGAATATTATCTCGTATATCCTGTGATCTTAACATTGCACGATGTTGAAGTGTGCAACAATAAAGCGGAGAGAACGTTACAGGTTCTTTCACGCAGAGACGTTGCATTCGTTCAATTTGTGTGCTCATTCGTCGAGATCCTCGAGGAACGAGGACGAGAGTCCCGTGGTCCGTCGAACGATGTTTAAAATGAGAATAGGGTCAACATGGTGTAGAACCGATCAGTACCTTCGTTCGACTGTTGCCGAAGGAACAAGAGAAAACGTGGAGGAAAGTGGACAAGGATGAGGAAAAAAGAAACGTGGGAGGTTAGAAGGGAAACCGATGGAGCGGACGATCCTTGTTATTGTAGCCATAATGGATGGGCAAACACGTGGACACGAGATCGAAACCGTGGCAGGTAAAACGTGGTTCATGGTTTTGTTGTACCTGCGTAAAAGCCGTGTCACGAGTCAAACATTACATAAGAATCCGATTTAACACGTTATACCGAGGTGAGCGACCATTCTATAAGATCAATAAGATAAGTCAATTTTAAAAATGGATATTGATAAAGGCTTGGAATTATACAGTGATTGACAAAAGTATTCGCAGATTTTTAAACTTTTTTTAAAATTGGATCAAATAATTTGAATTTTTTTAAGATGTTTAAGATGTTAAAAGGATTTAGTTTATTAATTAATGTATTAAGAAAACATTTTTTAAAATTGCTATTTTTTTAAATTGGAATTATGAAGAAAAAATAAATATATTATGATTTTTAATCTATAAATTTTTAATTTACAATGAAAATATAAAATATTTTGTAAATAAAATTTTGAAAATATATATATTTTGTAAATTTAATTTAAAGAAATTATATACGTGCATAAAATTTTATTAAAATCAGTTATATAAAAAAGCTATATGGAAAATATAAGAATGTTTAGGTTTAAAGAGAAAATTTTGAAAAACTTAATCGATTTTTGTTGAATCGTTTA